GCGCAGCCAGGGTGGCCGCCCTCCTGAAGCCCTTCCCGGCCTGCCGGGTAGGGGGCACCCCAGGGGGGCCAGCCGTGCTCCTTCCCTCCCTCCTTGGCTGTTCTGAGTGTGTACTTCGAGCCACCCTGCCCCAACCTGCCACCTGCTGTTGTGACCTTGCCCAGGCCTGCACGCGCCCCCTACCTCCTGGGTTGAACTTTCTCTGTAGGGTTCCAAGCAGAGCTCGGTGCCAGGGAACCCCGCCAAGGCCCTCCTGTTCAGATGTTCCTGTGCTGAATAAAGTGTGTTGACTCTCCCAGGACCGCTGCTGTCTCTGTGCCCACCCCTGTTGGCCTGGGCTCTGCCCTCTCAAGCCTCGCCAGGCCCCCAGCCTCTGGCCCCCCAGCATGACTGCTTTCCTCTGGTTCAGGCCACAGCTGCAGTGGGCCTGGCCAGGCAGTTGGTCTGTGAAATTCTCACCTCATCTCAAGTTTCCCAGTCACCTTCCCACTCCTGGGAGCCAAGGCAGCTTTGCAGATGCTCCCTGTGGGGCAGGGGACTGGGGGGTGTCTCCATCTATCCTCATTGCACATCCAAACAGCCTGGGGAGAAGGGGTGCTGAGCATCAGCCCACCCGCGCATGCCTCTTCTCTGTGTTGTCTGGGTTCAGCAACCTGATTCTTTGGAGCTCCGATGCCCTTGGCCTTGGTGTAAAGGGCGGCTCAGCATGGGTTCTTAGGGCAGCAGGAGACAGGTGTAAAGTCAGCAGGCGACAGGCCAAAGAGCTGGCAAGACTCTCCGGGAGGTGGCGGGGCAGGAGGCCTCCCATCTCCCTGCCCTGTAAAGCAACACTTCTGCTGTCTGCCCCTCTCATTCCTACCTCCAGGGGTCTCCAGGGCGGGGACTGCCTGGAGTGGGAGCAGCTGGCTGACCACTGCTGCTCCTGAAGGTTGGGGTCCAGAACGCCTTGCCCTGTTCCTTGCCCCACCCGAGCCTGAAACCCTCTCTCCCCACTAACAGCACCACCTACCCCCAGAAAGACCTGGGTGCCCACACCACCTAGACCTCCTGGAAAGGGTGTGTGTGGGAACTGGCCAGTGGGCTCTCCTAGCTTCTGCTCTGTGATGGACTCAAAAGGGGAAGCCTAACAAGAATAGATGTTTCAGGCCCGGTGTGATGGTTCACGCCTGTCATCCCAGCACTTTGGGAGGCATAGGCGAGAGGATTGCCCGAGCTCAGGGCCAGACCTTATCTCTATAAATAAATCAAAAAAATTAGCTGGGTGTGGTGACACGCACCTGTGGTTCCAACTATTTGGAAGGCTGAGGTGGAAGGACTGCCTGAACCAAGCAGGTTGAGGCTGCAGTGGCCGTGAGCATGCCACTGCACTGCAACTTGAATGACAAAATTATACTCCAACTCAAAAAAAAAGAAAATGTAAAGTGGTGGGACACGGTGGCTCGCTTGAGCCCAGGAGTTTGAGACCAGCCAGGACAACATAATGAGACCCTGGCTCTACCAAAAAAAAAAATTTTTTTTAAAGAAAATATGAAGTTAGACTGGTGATATTTGCATACTTCTGTACATATACTAAAAGCCATTGAGCTGTATACTTAAATTGGTACACTTATGGTCTACAATTTCAGTAAGATCAGGGAGAGGCCTGGACCTCTTGGAAAGAAATTCTTTGCTTGTCTGGCTGATGAGAGCCGGGAGGAAGCAGGGCTAGTGGGTCCGTGGCCAAGCCTAGTTCTCGGAATCCAGTGGCCTGGGCTGCCTTCAGCCCTGCAGCTAAAGATAGGTTGAACAGGTCTGAGCTGTGGAGCGTGGGAGGTCCCCGAGCCCTAGGATGGGGGCAGGATGGATCCTTGGCTCCTGTTGTTAAGGGGTGTGTCCTTTACCCTGATCCTCTTCTTGTGGAATTCCTGGACCCCAGACATCTGCCGATCGAGGCTGTGCCCATCCAGGGAATGTCCCCCGTCTCAAGGTCCTACGATCAGCAGGGAGAGGGGTGGCCTTGGACCTGCCTGCTTGGGGGTTCCATCAACACCTTCCCTGGGTGGGGCTGCACTTCCTTCAGCCCTAGCAGCCTTGAGCAGGGGGCATTTGGCTGGGAGCCAGCTAGCAGCCTCAGCCCTGCCGGGTTCACAGCCTGCCTAAGGCACGTCCCAGGTGTGGGCTGCTCTCTGGTGGCAGAACAGGGAAGGGCTGGCTCATTCTCCCTCAGGCAAGGTGGCTGGGGTCCCAGCGGAGCTGTGGTGGGCAGAGAGAGCTGCAGTCCTGGGGGTGCTCCGGGGTGCCCGGGCAGGGGGACAGGCTGGCCAGGAGCAAAAGACAGAAGGGAGGCAGAGCAGGCAGCACCAGCGAGGTTCACACAGACTGGAAAAGCAGTGGAATGTGTCATGGGGAAGGATCAACCATAACAAAGGGGAGTCTTCCTCCCCTGGAGTACCAGTATCCCACAGGGCAAGCACTGTAGCACTGTTTATGGAGACCCCCCCCACACACACACAGATGGAAGGGTACTATATTCACTATTTTATTTTTTGAGTTGGGATCTCACTCTCACAGCCACCACAGCCTTGATCTGCTGGGCTTGGGCGATCCTTCTGCCTCATCCTTTCTAGTGGCTGGAACCCTGCGAGGGGCCAGCCCCTGCAGAGAGATTTAGGGGGTCCCTTGGGAGGTGTGGCGTCGTCAGCAATTATTTTGGAGAAATAAAGAGAAAGAGAGAGAGAGAGAGAGACAGGGGAGAAAGAAAGAGACTGGATTCTGTCTAGGGCAGAAGCTGATTCTGTAGGAGGGATAGATATTAAAAGAAAGATGGAGGGATAGATATAAAGAGAAAGAAATAAAATGGACAACTGTTCAACGGATTGAGCAGAAGCTGTTTAATGGAAGTTACAGTGGGTATTTATCCCCAAATTTTACACAGACAGTCTCACAAGTCTTTCATATGAACACAAAGCCAGGTGAATGAGGGGCGTCCCCCACCCACCAGGTGTTTCCTCAAGCATGAGGAAGGGCAATCCCAAAATTATCTCACTGTTCCTCATGGTTGGTTAATATTTCTCAAAAGCATACAACAATTTCTAACATCATAATATTCCAGTGATCAATAACTTTTAAAACTTATGCATACACAACACCTAATGACTAACTTAAATCTTAATTCCTTTCTATTTTACGCTAACTCTACCTACACTATAGAGACTCTTTTTTTTTGAGTTGGAGTCTCACTCTGTCACCCAGACTGGAGTGCAGTGGCTGCTCCCGTCCACCGCAGCCTCGACCCGCTGGGCTCCGGCGATCCTTCCGCCTCAGCCTTCCAAGTAGCTGGAATTACAGGCATGCGCTACCACGCCCGGCTGATTTTTTGATTTATTGTAGAGATGAGGTCTCGCTGCCCAGGCGGGTCTCAAGCCTGCAGGTTCAGGCAATCCACTCACCTCAGCCTCCCAAAGGCGCGGGATTACAGGCTGAGCCACTGAGCCTGGCTGAGACTCTTAATTATAGCCCAAACCAGTTCCTAGGGAATGTGGCCCAGTCAGAAGATCACGTTGGGCCGTTTCCGGGAACAATTGATTACAATCTCTTAACAAAATGGCTGTTCTAAAATCCTATAAATCTATTTTAACTTCTATAAAAGTTTCTAATTCCTAATCCTGATCATCAGCAATAAAGCTTCTAAAAAATAAAACGCAAATATAAACTGTAAATTGTATTAAAACCAAAACCGCAAATGTAGAAAATGGAAACAATGAAATTCTAAAGTTAGCTGTATTCTTATTAAACCTCAAAACATCATGCTTGATCATGCTTGAACTAACATAATTCACTGATGTAGCATAACCTATTCTACAATACTTTCTATGAATAAAATAAATTCAATTTCTATAATAAGTAGAAAAAACCCTATACTCACTGTAGCTAAAAACCGGTTTAAAAGAAAGCACCAGGCCCTGAGGAATGTGGCCCAGCCCAAAGTTCATGCTGGGCCGTTTCTGGTAACTCTAGATAATTATCTATATTATTAAGGTTGAAACAGCACTTTATATGTATATACTAATTCTACAAATATACTTTTAAATCTTAAAAGAAGCTTGTACCGTGTTAAAGGCTCCCAAATGTGACCTGAGTTTGAATTATGTTAAGTTTAAAGCCGAAACCACAGTCTGTGAGAAACGGGAACAATGGACTCCTAAAGTAAGCCATGCCTGTCATACTCTCAGAACTTCATGCTTAGATCATCAAAGTCCCTACTAGTGGGACATGCCAAACAGCAAAGAAGGGAAGAGGGAATGGGCCATCAGCTCCTGAACTTAATCTAGTGGTCTCAGGGTCCACAGCCCGCCTGGATCCCTAACACTCAGGCGGCCTCCACGGTGGGCTCCCAACAGAACCCCAGGCACACAGCACCACGCCCAGCTAGTTTTTTGATTTATTGTAGAGACAAGGTCTCGCCAAGTTGCCCAGGCTCCTCTCGAACCCCTGGGCTCAGGCAATCCTCTCAACTCCACCTCCCAAAGAGCTGGGACTTTTTTTTTTTTTTTTAGTTTTATTATTTATTTTTTATTTTGAGTTGGGGTCTCACTCTGTCGCCCAGACTGGAGTGCAATGGCGCGCTCACGGCCACCGCAACCTTGACCTGCTGGGCTCAGGTGATCCTTCCGCCTCAGCCTTCCAAGTAGCTGGAACCATAGGTGCGTGCCAACATACCGGGCTAATTTTTTTGGTTTATTGTAGAGACGAGATCTGGCCATGTGGCTCAGGCTGGTCTCAAATCCCTGAGCTCAGGCAAGCCTCTCACCTCAGCCTCCCAAAGTGCTGGGGTTACAGGCTTGAGCCACCATGCCTGGCCTATTTATTTATTTATTTATTTGTTTTTTGAGTTGGAGTCTCATTCTGTCGCCCAGACTGGAGTGCAGTGGCCACTCCCGGCCACCGCAGCCTCAACCTGCAGGGCTCCGGCAATCCTTCCACCTCAGCCTTCCAAGTAGCTGGAGCTCCAGTCGCGCGCTACCACGCCCGGCTAATTTTTGATTTATTGTAGAGATGAGGGCTCGTCAAGTTGCCCAGGCGGGTCTCGAACCCGCAGGCTCAGGCAATTCATTCACCTCAGCCTCCCAAAGGCGCGGGATTACAGGCTGAGCCACCGAGCCCGGCAGGCCTATTTATTTTTGAGTCAGGGTCTCATTCTGTCGCCCAGGCTGGAGTGCAATGGCAGGATCACAGTTACCTCAACCTTGGCCTCCTGGGCTCAGGCAATCCTTCCACCTCAGCCTCCTGAGTAGCTGGGACTACAGGCATGTGCCCTCACACCCAGCTAATTTTTTTGATTTTTTTCTTTTAGAGAGAAAAATGTTTTGTAGGTTGATCTTGAACTCCTGGGCTCAAGCAATCCTCACACCTCTGCCTCCCAAAGCTGCCACGGCGCTTATCAGCCTTGATTGTTTTTTTAATATCGCTTGCAGGACATTCTGAATCAGCACAGATACACCTCAGTATTTTTATGTTGGCAGATGCTTGATATTTCATCCTATAGATGGATCTTAATCACCCAGTCCCCTCCGCCCCACTGACCTCCAAGAGTTCCCAGTCTGGGAGAAAGATGAAGAGAGGCACTGTGGCAGGAGTTCATTGGTGAAGCCCCAGCCTCAGTGTCCACAGGCCTAGGCTTTGGAAGTGTTACCACCCCCCCAGATGGTGTCCCCAACCTGTGCCTGTGGCCTGCCGCCAGCAACCTCCCACCACTCTGGATGAATCCAAACCCCACAAAGAGACACCCTGAGCCTGACTGTGGGCCTGCAGCCCCACCTCCCCCCACACCCCTCTATGTTCTCCCTAAGATCCAGAAATGCTGGTGAAACAGACAGGGCTGGGGAGGAGGGCTGTCTAACACATCTGACCTGGAGCCCGTGGGTATGTGGAGGAGGAATCTGGGAAGGGGGTGGAGAGAGGCCCTGGGCTGAGATCCTCCTGATGGCAGCAACTGAGTGGGAGTAGGGGCCACACTGTCTGCAGGAACCGCTTGTCAAGTCCGAACGGGCCTGCGACTGGAGGCGGGGGCAGAGGAGTGGGCAGACTCCGTGGACTTCCATCGTAGCTTAGATAGAGACAGGGGAGCTTCCACAGGCAGGTGTGAGTTAAATAAGTGAAGCATGCTGACACCTTCTCATCAGAACATAACTCCCCAAACACCCTACTGAGCAGGCACACCTCTGCAGCCTCAATCACAAAGACCATAAACAAAGGCAGCGAGGCGTTGGCGGGACAGCGAGGCACAGCATGCTAAGAATAAAAACCAGCAACTTTTCCTATTAAGTTCCTCCTCGTGATGCAAGCAAATTTAGGAGTAAACTGACAAGAATTGAAACTGTGATCAAAGTTTAGCTTGGGGGAAATAGGTTGCTTGGTTCTGGCACAGTGGTTCATGCCTGTAATCCCAGCACTTTGGGAGGTGGAGGCGAGAGGATTGCCTGAGTCCAGGGGTTCGAGCCCAGACTGGGCAACTGGGTGAGACCTCGTCTCTACAATAAACCAAAAAATTAGCCACGTGTGGTGGTGCACATCTGTAGTTCCAGCTACTTGGAAGGCTGAGGCGGAAGGATCGCCTGAGCCCAGCAGGTTGAGGCTGCGGTGGCCGTGAGCGTGCCATTGCATTCCAGCCTGGGCGACAGAATGAGACTCCAACTTAAAAAAAAAGAAAGAAGCCCAACCCTTCTCATGCTTAACCCCACACTCCACCCTACATGAAATGCTACACAATCTGTGTGCTTTTTATACTCAGGAGCTAGGATCTTATCTAGCTAGCTGCATGAGCCACCCTTCCTATATGTAAGTTCCTGAATAAAGCCCATGTCGCATCCATTGTCTCCGGGTCATTTCTTCAGATTTCCAGACACAGTGCCTTCCCTTTAGGGTCTTTGGGGGTCTAGCACCACAGAGGGTCAGATGAAGAGCTCTTAACATGCCCGCCAGGCCCTGTTCCGCTGCCAGCCTAGCCTCACATGGTCCACCTTTCCTCCACCTTCCTCATCATTAGTTCTTCAAATCTGCCAAGCTCTTTACTTCCAGGGCCTTCACAGATGCGGTTCCTCTGCCGGGTAGGGTCTACCCCTCCCTTCCTCCTACCCAATTTCTATTCATCCTTGAGTTTCAGCATAAATGTCATTTCTTTTTGGAAACCTTAGACTGGGAACACTTGCACTTCTTCACAGCTTCACAACTACGATGACAATCCTTATTTATATAGAAAATGAGAGTAAGACATCTACCGTGCAGTGTGGATTGTGATTTGACTCCTAGGTCTCCCCCAGACAGGGACAGTGGGAAGCATCCCTGATGAATTATGTCCTTAGTTCAGCAGTAGCCCCCAACTATGGCAGTGTCTGATACTCCAAATAAATATTTCTTGAGACCAGGCGCGGTGGCTCATGACTGCAATCACAGCATTTTGGGAGGCCGAGGCCAAAGGACTGCTTGAGGCCAGGAGTTTGAGACCAGTCTGGGCAACATAGCAGTCTCCACCTCTACTAAAAAGTTTAAAAAAAAAAAAAATAGCGGGATGTGGGGGCGTGTGCCTATAGTCTCAGTGACTCATTGAGGCTGAAGCAGGAGGATCGCAGAAACCCAGGAATCTAAAGCTGCAGCCCGGGCAACAGAGGGAGGCCCGGTCTCATATATATGAGAAGATACTCCTATATATAAATCAGAAGTGAGTTGGGTGCGGTGGTTCACGTCTGTCATCCCAGTACTTTGGGAGGGCGAGAGGATTGCCTGAGCTCAGGGGTTCGAGACCAGCCTGAGCAACTTGGTGAGACCCTGTCTCTACAAGAAATCAAAAAATGAGCCGGGCGTGGTGGCGCATGCCTGTTGTTCCAGCAACTGGGAAGGCTTAAGTGGAAGGGTCACCTGAGCCCAGGAGGCAGAAGCTGCAGTGGCCGTGAGCGCGCCACCGCACTGCAGCCCGGGCGACAGAGCGAGACTCCCACTCAAAAAAAAAGTGATTTGGAAGGAAAAGCGGACGGCCCGAAGGCGCTCTGGGCAGGACAGCCGCCCGCCCGGCCGGCGTGATGACGCCGGGCTCACGCCCGCCGCGCCCCGCGCCGTCGGGAGACCC